AGCTGTCTATGCAAAAATGATTAAGAAGAAAAAAAAAAGAAGACGGAGTCGCATATAATAGTGGACACATCTGTCTGCCTTTTTCCCCTTTCCTTTCCCCTTATAACAAGGGACTTTTTAAAAGGGAGAAATGCATGGAAAAAGCAACCACTGTCTGTAGGCTCACCAACAACCTGTATCAAGGTGTGAACATCATGTGCTGAGGTGGATGTTCCTTCCTCCTTGATGTTCCTTCTATGAATATAGAACAGGGAAAATGTTTACTGTGCAGATAGCTTTCTATGCATCAATAGTCAGTATTTATGATAAGCAAGCATTGGGGGGAAGAAAAAGCACCAAAATGCCTAACAATAAAGGAAAGACTAATTTGAATATTCTGCAAAAGGTGGAATATAATGGCAGCCATTAATTTGTATTTTGGAAGAAAAAAATGCTTCTAATCAGGTCCATGGTATGGCACAGCTCCAAGTACATTATGTTCACCTTGTTATCTACGTGAACAGTGATGCCAGTACCTCCTGCAGTGAATAAACTGCACGATCCTACACAGAAAGCCGGCTTATAATTTAACGTAAATAATTAGATTCATGATTCACTTGTAACATGTGTGATGATAAGTAAGCATGACAAAATATTAACAGTGACAGCTCCCGGTTGTAGCATTACATTTGAATTAAATTTTCCAAATACTCCATAATGGGAATAAATCACGACATTAGTTAGTTAGTAAAAAAAGTGTTTATTACTATCAAAATAAGAGCAACTAAAAGAAAAGAAAACAACACTAAAAACCCAAGAAAAGTCTGGCTTCAAATCATTGCGAAGGCACTTTTCTGCTGAGAAATCTTAGACTTGCTATATAAAGCCTCTCAGTTTCTGTTCCTTTACTAATAAAACCAAGAAAATACTTAACTCAGAGAGGTGTTGCAAAGGTTGCAAAAGCAGTGTCTGGGATGTAGTAAATCTAAACACCCTTAACCACTATTATTCATCTTGAAAACGGTTTACTAAGTGTTGAAACTCTTCAACTAAATGCAATGCTAAATAACTAGGGCAGTTAACAGGAAGTAAGTAAGGCATTCAGGGCAAAGCTACAAAATTGTTGATTTAAATATTTAATTAATTTGAAAAAGGACAAAATGTCTAAAGTTATACATCAACCCTCCATGATATATTGGAGTAAATTACTTAAGAGGTTACTACAATGTTCAATCTCAAGTTGTCTTATCAGGCAAAATATTATATTATAGCTATCCAGAACAATAAATACAACCACTTAAAAAAAAACTAACTTACCCCAAAATCGTTCGAAGTATTCAGATCTTGAAAAATCTGAATTTGAGTGATCCAGCTTAGCTATTCATTCATTGCCTTCATTCACAGGTTAACTGCATCAGCCAATCAAAATTATCTTGAGGGTTTTTTGTTGTTGTTGTTAAATCAATACCCAACTTCAGTAAGATAAATTACAAGCCAATCTACTTTTTTTTTTTAAGATTTTATTTATTTATTTGACAGACAGAGACAGAGCAGAGAGGGAACACAAGCAGGGGGAGTGGGAGAGGGAGAAGCAGGCTTCCCAACGAGCAGGGAGCCCGATATGGGGCTCGATCCCAGGACCCTAGGATCATGACCTGAGCTGAAGGCAGACGCTTAACGAGTGAGCCACCCAGGCTCCCCCAAGCCAATCTACTTTTAATTAATGTTTTGCCTGATTTATCAAAATATTTTCAGTCTTTCTGTAGTGTCCTGTTATTTTTTTCACCTTACAGGTAATATTATCTTCTCTGGTAATACTACCTTTAACATTCTTCATCCTACTCTTAATATATAAACTTTGATCAGGGAGCCTAGGTGGCTCAGTCGTTAAGCATCTGCCTTCGGCTCAGGTCATGATCCCAGCGTCCTGGGATCAAGCCCCGCATCGGGCTCCCTGCTCCTCAGGAAGCCTGCTTCTCCCTCTCCCACTCCCCCCTGCTTGTGTTCCCTCTCTCTGTCAAATAAAATCTTAAAAAATATATATATATATATATATATATGTATATATATAAACTGATTGAATTTGGTCCCATCTTGTCACAGAGTAAGCGTAAATCAAAGGACTTATTTCCCTGGCCAATCAGAAGAATCTACTTCCCTGGCCACAGTATGAGGTTCAAAGGTATGCACTTGCCCAGTCAAAGTCAGTGACATGCAAAGAGACTTTAAAACTTTCTCCACCCATCCTCATGGGATTTGAATTTGGAATCAAGTAGCCTCCAAGTTGGTATTGGGACGAAGCAATGTGAATGGCAAAGCCAAGAGCTAGCACAGAAGTGCACTTGGTGCTTTGAATGCAGCTAAGCCAGGAGCCATTATCTTCTATGGGATTTTCAGATACATCTGGCTACATGTCCCCTTTCTCTTTCGGGATTTGTGGTTGGATTTTCTGTCTTTTGTAGTAGTAAGAGTTTGCTTGTTTTTCTGCTATACAACATCATGCCTATAGTAAATAATACTGCACTTTAAAATTTGTTGAGAGTAAATCTCATGTTAAATGCTCTTACCACAAAACAATAATAAAAAAAAAGATGGTTAGACAATATAGGGTGGGGGACAAGGGGGTGGGAGTTGGCCTCTTGCTTCACCTCTGAGCAGCAGGGGAAAGTTCTTTAATGAATAAGCTATTCTGTGAAACAGGTTAGGTGGTGGTTTAATGTTTTGCCTTAATTGGCAAATGTCCATAGCTATTAGAAAGTGTATTTTGTTTATATCCTCAGACTAAAGAGGAAACTTTTTATTTTCTCTTTCCATATATAATATATAGGGAGAAGACTTTATTCTGAGACAATATGAATTCTTTACATTTAAGTACCAGAAACACAAGATATAAAATTACAACCTCTAAACTTCTCTGTTTATACTCACCTTCCTTATGCTCAGAGAGGTATTAATGGGGGAGACTAAGGGGATATGATGGTGCAAAAAGCTTGGCCCCTTTAAAACTTAGCTTTTGGGAACTACAAATATATTTTGCATTCTTATGATTACTAGAGGTTTTGCATCTTTAAGATAATAAACACAAGGGGTGGGGAATAAATAAATATTGTCTTAAAAAGGTAATAAATACAGAGATCAGTTGAAGAATAAAAATCTTGAGCTCTAGTCCTTCAAACATGACCCCCTATGTGTGTCTGTCTGTCTCTCTCTCTCTGGTATACTTTGGTGGGGAATGATGTTGCTAATATTCCTAGCTGAAAATTTCCATATATTTTGTATTTTTTTGTAGGTATTTCAATCAAAGACAAAGAACAGTAAAATTATTCCTAGATTTTTTCCATTATAATATCTTACTTAGTGATTTTTGAGTGACTATTTTCATGCCAAAAGTTACAAAATAATTTTCACTTCAAAGAATCTTTCTAATTCTCCTCTTTTTATTTTTTTTAATTTTTAAAAAGACTTCATTTATTTATTTTAAAGAAAAAGAGAATAAACAGGGAGAGGGATGGAGGAGAGGGAGAAGCAGGATCCCTGCTGATCAGGGAGCCTGATGTGGGGCTTGATCCCAGGACCCCAGGATCATGACCTGAGCCGAAGGTAGAGGCTTAACCAACTGAGCCACCCAGGTGCCCCCCAATTCTCCTCTTTTGTTATAGACCTTGTCAAAATGCATATTCTTGTAATTTATTATTTTTATTCTCCAAAAATTCTTATTTACTATGTGCAACATTCATAGAAAGGTAATTAGGGAATCAAACATATAAATACAGAAACATAAAGAGAAGTAAAAAGAAAGCTCCACTGTCAGCTAAAGAAGAGAGATTTCTAGCAATCCACAAACCCATTGCTATTGGCTCTCAGTTGAAACTCATGGTTGGAACAAACCACATGTCACATATCCAAATAGACAAATGGTCAACTCATTAAAGAGGTCTTAGTGGTTCTTAGTGCTTTCACAGAGGTGTTTTTGTGGGAATATGAATCCTGCCATGGTGAACATGTACATCAATACTGTGGGGACAAGGATAGTAGGAAAACCTCTTCAGTTATGAGAACACGGAACTAAGAAAAGCATATTAAATAGACTAAGAAAAATACCGCTGGAGTCTATCATCTTCAAAAAAACCCATCAAGTCATGATGTGGAATGGAGATATTTGTGATATAACAGACAAACCAAGACATATGATGGTAAAATTAAAATGTAGAGTCAGATTTTCCTCATGCTGTTATTGTACATATGCTAGAGCTTCACTTCTGTCAGTATATTCTTGGGGTTGAATTTCCAGTGATATGTAGAATCTTAGATACAATAAATGAAAATGGGCTTTTTTTCTCTTCCCAAATAAAAATAAATTTAAGAGAAAGAAAAATCATTGAAAGTCATGATGACTTCTATCTTATTATGCCTCATTATAGAGTTTTCAGCTACTGAACCCCATCTAAAGAATTGTATAAAAGGAATCTCAACCACTCTGTAAATATATATGTATATATAAGAAATTATCAATCAACTTCTAAGGCAGATACTTGTCATTTTTTTTTTTCATTTTTATTGTGTCTAATGAAATGATTGTGTTTTTTCTTTGCTTAGGTGATGTGATTCCAAACTAAGTTTCATTCAAACTAATTTTCATTTTTAAAAAAGTGCATCTTGCACCTTTTAGATATTCTAACATTTATGTAAAATATAATCTGAAATACACAAGAAACAGATATTTGAATACATAAACTTTTTTTTTAAAGATTTTATTTATTTATTTGACAGAGACACAGCAAGAGAGGGAACACAAGCAGGGGGAGTGGGAGAGGCAGAAGCAGGCTTCCCGCGGAGCAGGGAGCCCTATGTGGGGCTCGATCCCAGGACCCTGGGACCACGACCCGAGCCGAAGGCAGATGCTTATCGACTGAGCCACCCAGGTGCCCCTTGAATACATAAACTTTTAAAACATTTCTTAGCAGACCAATATTTTCAAGTTTAAAAGATTATAAACTGAAATCAAAATTTATTTTTCTTACCTTTCTGGATATGTAAGTGACTGTAACATGATACGCTGGATTTTGTATCTGCCTGTGATAAATTGCCAATGTGAGCTCTGAGAATATGCCAAACCAATGCTTGAAATATTTACAACATCATTTAAAAATTGAGCAAGAATCTTGACTTCTTGGAGCTCATTAAATGATCTGTTCTTCCTAAAGAGAGAATTTAATATGCTCAGCATATTAGTAAAATACAATTTAATTCTAAAGTCAATGTAATGTTAACAATGCAGGATAGAAAGAATAAACTTAAAGGAAAAAGGCCAAACAATAACATATTTGTTAAAGTATTTATTAAAATAATTTAAAATACAACCTAGCAATTGCACTACTAGGTATTTACCCAAAGGATACAAACATAGTGATCCAAAGGGGCACTTGCACCCCAATGTTTATAGCAACAATGTCCACAATAGCCAAACTATGGAAAAAGCCCAGATGTCCATCAACAGATGAATGGATAAAGAAGATGTGGTGTGTGTATGTATATATATGTAATATATTATACATACACACACACACAATGGAATATTACTCAGCCATCACAAAAAATTAAATCCGACCTTTTGCAATGACATGGATAGAACTAGAGGGTATTATGCAAAGTGAAATAAATCAATCACAGAAAGACAATCATCATATGATCTCACTCATATGTGGAATTTAAGAAACAAAACAGAGGATCATAGGGGAAGGGAGGGAAAAATAAAATAAGACGAAATCAGAGAGGGAGACAAACCATAAGAGACTCTTAACTACAGGAAACAAACTGAGGGTTGCTGAGGGGAGGGGGTAACTGGGTGATGGACATTAAGGAGGGCACGTGATATAATGAGCACTGGGTGTTATATGCAACTGATGAATCACTGAACTTTACCTCTAAACTAATAATATACTAATTAATTAATTAATTGAATTTAAATAAAATAAAAATTTTTAAAAACTAATTTAAAATAAGTTAAAACAAAATAAAAAAATAATACATGCGTCTCCATACAAAATTATTTGGGGATATTTTTTGAGAAAAATGTGGGACATCTTGTCTTTCTGACTTGGGTATCTAGATTGTACATTTAAGATAAGAGAAGTCCTAGGTGCCTGGGTGGCTCAGTTGGTTAAGCGACTGCCTTTGACTCAGGTCATGATCCTGGAGTCCCGGGATCGATCCCGCGTCGGGCTCCCTGCTCAGCAGGGAGTCTGCTTCTCCCTCTGACCCTCCCCCTTCTCATGCTCTCTCTCTCTCATCCTCTCTCTCAAATAAATAAATAAAATCTTTAAAAAAAAAAAAAAAGATTAGAGAAGTCCCCTTATGCTTCTTTGTTTAGACACCTGAACAACTATCATAGTTCCCTGAATGGGCTGGATACTCAAATAATAATTCTTCATTGTTCTGTGCCATTTACCAAATATTTGTGAATTAAAGGAATAATTATAAAAGCCTCAGATTCAAAAGGAAAAAATAAAGGTAGAATTTAATAAGTACAATTTTCTGAGCATTTACAGTGCATCCAGAACTGTAATAAAGTTTGACATACTTGCCCTTATTTAACTATCTTAACAACTCCCTTTATTAGGTACTATTAGTATTGCCATTAACAGATGAGAAAACTGAATATCAGAGCATATAAGAGCCTTTCCTAAGCTAGTGAATGCAAAGCTAGAACGCAAACACAGTCATGTCAATGTTCTTCATCACTCTACTCAAATTCCTCATCCTTGTTTGCCAGAAGTATGGGGGCCTGGAGTCAGTTAGATCAATATGAATCTGCTTAACTACCAAGGGAACTCCAAAGAAGGAAAAGGAGGAGGAGGAGCAGGATAAGTAAGAGGAGGAGGAAAGAAAAGGAGGGAGAGTGGGAGGAAGGGGGAGAGGAGAGGAGGAAGCAAGGGAAGAAGAGAGAAGAGAAGATAAAGGAAGAGGAGAGAAAGAAAAAAAACATCTATTGTACTGGGGCACATGGGTGGCTCAGTCAGTTAAGCCTCTGACTCTTGATTTCAGTTCAGGTCATGATCTCAAGGTCGCGGGATCGAGCCCTGTGTGGGGCTCCACGCTCAGCAGAGTCTGCCTGAGATTCTCTCTTTCCCTCTGCCCCTGCTCTCACTCTCTCCCTCTCTCTCTCTCAAATAAATAAATCTTTAAAAAAATCTGTTGTATTAATTTCCTCCTTCAAGGCAGCAATGATTTGCTTGAGCAAAGGCAACAATCACACGTAGAACAGATGAAGAGTATGTTCAACACTTGCGCCATCTTACATTTCTTCCCACCTTTTCCTCCTCTTGAGTCTTCAAAACAGCTAGGCCCAAAAAAAGGTTGTCATCACACTCCTCAAAGCCCATTTCTGCTCCTTCCAGACACTATTACTACCTCCTCTTTCACGGAATATAGCATCAATGATCATATCTCTAATTTCTATCCAAGACCTTATCTGGGTTTCTCAGAGATACTTCAAAGTCAGTATGTCCAGATGGGAATGTGCTATCTTTCCCTACAATTTCACACACACTTTAATGATTTCGAATACCAACTGTTTGCTCATGACCACAAAATCTCTGCCTCTAGCTGAACTCTGCTGAGATCCAGACATACATATTGACTGTCATTCATCATGTCTACTTGGATCTCTCAAGGATATCTGCAGCTCAGTAGGTTCAAATCTAAATGACATCTTCCCCAAAAACCATCTCTCACCAAAAAACAAAAGGAAACAAAACCCAACAGTTTACAAATTTCTTTATCATTTTAAATGGCTCTACCACCTATTACCCAAGCCAGACAATTAGGATTCACCCTTGATATCCCCTCTTTTAACTCCTACTTCCAATCCATCATAAATTCCTACTGACTATACCTATAAAATATCCTGAATCTGCTTTGAATCCATCCTCAGTTTCCATCTCCACTGCAAGCACTCAGGACACCATTGTTCCTTGCCTATATTCTTAAAACGACATCCTGTCTTGTCCCTCATCAACCCACTGTGATCAAATTGTTTTTCCTAAATAAAGATCCAATCCCAGCTCCAACCAGACTGCCCCAACTAAAACACTTTAGTGGTTTTCATTTGCCCAGTGAGTAAAATAAAATCCTAGAAATGCCCTGTAAGTTCTAGTTCTTACAGAATCTAGGGGTGTACTACCTCTCTCAAAGCTCTCTTGCTTTCCCTGCCTCCATTCTAAGACATTATAAAATTCCTTCAGTTCCTAAAATGGGCTATGTTCCCTTCTCCTTCAGGATCTATGCATTTATTGACCCTTCTGCCTGGAATATAGCAAAGCAGATGAATTCCTGCTCCTCATTTAGGTCTCAACTAATATGAAATGTCCTTAGGGAAACTTTTAATGACCTCACTATCCCCTATTTTATGTTTCCATACACACTATAATTTGCTTCAAGACATTTTTCAGATTTCATTTATACATTTTTATTTATTTTTGATGACTGTTATAGCCTTCATTAAGATGTAACTTTAATGAGGGTAGGACCATGTCTATTTTTCTCATCACAGTATCCTCAGCACTTAGCACAGTCCCTAGCTCAATGCAGAAACACATTAAAAATTGTCTGAATAGAGGAATGATGAACATTATCATTTTATTTGTATTATGTATTTGTAAAGTCTATCGGCTGCACTGGACAGAAATTATGTAAAGACAGCAATCTAATTTGTCCAGAACTGTATCCCCAATTTCTAGTACAGTTACTGGCCTATAGAAGCTTTCAAGATATTATATTGAATGATTAGATTGGTTCCTATCCATGACCTCCCGGCTCAGTAAATGGCACCATAACTTAAATGTTTGCCTCGAAACTGGTTTCTTTCCTTCAGTTTCATATATTTAATTTATCATAAAAACACATCTATTCTAAGTCCTAAAAACAAAACAATACAAAACAAAAAACATTTCCATGAATTTAGTCCAGGCCTCCATCATCTCTCACAGAAATTATTACAACAGTCACCTCTTTGGACTTGTGCCACTCTAATCTCTCCACTACTCATCCTCTGAGGGAACCAGAATGTCCAAAATTGATAACCCCTGTTTAAATTCCTATATTGATATATTAATATATTTGGCATCGTATTATAATGTGTGAGTAATTTTAAGTGACATAAAAAATTATTACATTGTAACATTCAGTATAAAAATCAGGATAAGATCCTAGTTTTGCTAAGTGAAAAAAAATAATGCACAGGGGTATGTACAAGAAGAAAGAGGAAGGAAGTGAAGAGGTAGAGGAAGAGAAGGAGACATAGATGTAGACCAAATAGTAAATGTGAACATGCCTGGATGATGTAATTATATATGATTCTCATTTTCTACTGTATGACACATTTTTCTAGAATGAGCAAATATTCCTTTTCAATTTTGAAAAGGGAAACAAAAGGTCATTTAAAAGTCTCTGGCTTCCCTAGTTTCTGAAACAGTTCAAATCCCGAAGCATGACCAAAGCTATTAGCAAAGAATTATTTAATAGAAAAACAATAAAGCCTATGGCCAGGCTTAAATGGACAGATTTGCCATGAATATATCATCCATGTTTTATATTCCTTCATGAAAAATGCACGAAGTCAAGTATGTGGATAAAATGCATCAATATTTCACGGTGTTCTGCATAGACAAGGATGTTTATAAAGGGAATCAAGAATCACAATTGCATTGCCTTCTGAACAAGTTGGAAACAACTTCTCTCATACTATAGTCTTTGTGCTGTTACTGAACTCTGGTACTTTCCTATTTCCATGCCTTTGAAAGCACTCTCTCTCCACGCCTTGACTGCAGTCTCTCTCCTTCAAATGCTTCCTTGCTTCTTCCTCTGTACACCCACAGCATGTAAGTATTCTGCTACTACAGAACTTATTACTCAGAGCTATAAATATGCATTAGTCTCCTCCAGTTTTCTGTGACTTCCTTGAGAACAATAACAGTGCTATTTTATCTTGAATACCCATTATTTGGTGAAATGCCTGAATAAGTTCCATTGGTGCTGAATAACACTGTTGAATAAGTGGATTCAAAAACCTAAGAAAGCATGTGTCTTATAAAAATAAATAATGGATCATACACATATGTGTGTTATATGTATGCACATATATACACTATTTTAAGTGATTTAAAGCAATAAACTATTATAAAATAACTATTATTATAACACTGTCAATCAGTGCTCAAAATTAAGTGGCAACAACTTAAGTTTCTCTTAATAAAATACGGGCCTTGGGATGCCTGGGTGGCTCAGTCATTAAGCGTCTGCCTTCGGCTCAGGTCATGATCCCAGGGTCCTGGGATCGAGCCCCGCATCGGGCTCCTTGCTCCGCGGGAAGCCTGCTTCTCCCTCTCCCACTCCCCCTGATCGTGTTCCCTCTCTCGCTGTGTCTCTCGCTGTCAAATAAATAAATAAAATCTTTAAAAATATATATGGGCCTTGATGTAAATGACGAATTTGAAGAATCTGAAATCCTAGTTTGATTTATTTAATATTCTTCTTTGGGTGACTGAGGGGAAGTTGAAGAAAGGGAAAAAACAAAAAGAATTGATGCTCACTCATCACCAGTTCTATCCAACTACTAAATTATCTGCAATGCCTTTAATCATTTTAAGAAAATTAAAATTTTAAGGATCTAATATTAAAAATATGTTAATCTCAATGTTTAAAAAATTTTTCCTGACTAAAACTCAGAACATTATTTCCAAGAATGGCCTTAGTATCCCATGGTGAAGTAGTCTTTATGTCACTTCAGTACATAGGTTCTCAATATTTTATCATAATATACTTCTTTTACTATTATTTTTCTTTGTGGATTTCAAGGTTTTGAAGATTTATCTACAAAACAAACTTCATTTATTATGAGATATGACTACTTTTTATATTTTAATATCATTTTAGATTTTAAACAAATGTTCATAATAATCCTGTAAAATTACATACATCACTTCCATTGTTTGCAATGCTGATGTGCAAATATATAAGCATGCAGAGACTTTTCCCTGGTTCGCTTTAGTGGTTGAACAAGTTTGGGCATCACGATGTATGCAAGTCTGAAGCCCATCACGCATCAGATTTAGTCAATTCAGGTACTGTAACCACCTAGACTATGACAATGGTAAAAACTGGATATATCGATTATGCTTCCTGAAATTCTAAAGAGGTCATCAGTAATCAGTCTAAACTTAAACCAAATTGTTCTGAGTCCAGGCACAATAAAATAAAGTGTATCTTTTATTTCATCACTAGACATGGTACCAGTGAGCATTTTGAAAAGTCACATTATTTAATAGATTTCTAGAAGTCTAGCACAGCAGGTTGGAAACTACAATTTTAATAGTAGCATACACCTTCATACCATTCTTTTGTTTAACAGGAAATGAATTTCTTAGTTTGAGAATTTATTAAATACACAAATGTGCATTCAACAAATTCAAGCTGAGAACATTCTTTGAGATGATTAGATAACTTAAAAAATATGTATATATACCTACACATACATATATACACAAAGAGTTAAATAGAAGATTAAGTAAAAACAAAACACTCTTCTATTATTTGTGGAATTTGTGGCTGGGAGTGGTTCTCTGGAATACTGAAATTGTGTCACTCTACTGACAGAAGTTGTTAGACATTTATTCACAGCACTGTGAACACAATGTTGCCTGAAAACCAGAGAGAATTAGAAGGCAAGTAGTTTGAGAAGAAGAACACTGGAATGAGAGTTAGAATGAGAGGGAAAAAAAAGTTTCCCCTAATGTTTGTAGTTCCTAGGTGTGTATGACATAAACAAGTTAGTCGACTTCGTATTCAGCATCTTCCTCCATAGAATGAATGAGTTAGAATATACACCTGAGATTCTTTTAATATTTAACATTTTAAGGTTCAACGGATAGAAAAATTACACTATCTGTATTATATTCCAAAGTAGATGCTCAAAAAAACAAACATTTAATTTATGAAAGAAAAAAAATACTAACTTATACTTACTCATAGAGCCTTGGCTCTTCAACCATTCCAAGCTGGTTTAATAATTTAAATGTAATATAGCCATCCTCTATAGTTTTATCCAGAACAGTTATAGTGAGAACAAAATAATAGGCTGTAAAATAAAAATATAGAATGCAATTCACATTATTATTTTTTTCCTTATTTTTGGTGCCTATGCAGATACACATGTATGTATATATGTACACAATCTAGGCACATATTATATATGCACATAATATTGAGAGCCACTCATTAGGTACATGGGTAATATATTTTACTTTTTGTCAATTCTTAACTAGACCTGAAAATGGGAGGAATGAAAAAGCCTGCCAGAAAGTCATAGGTATGGTGAAAAGTTGGCCAAATAATTAGAGAATACTAACTGGTCTGCAAACCAAGAAATTTCAGAATTTAGGTCAATGAAACAATTTTTCTTTTTCAATAGCACAACTAAAGAAGTAAATATGATAAGGTTCCTTAATTATCTGATGAATAGTCCTGGGTAAAATTGCTTGACAAATATAATTCCCAATTTCACTGGTTGTTTAGGAATGCCTGTAAAATTAAGTATTTCTATAATACCAAGCTCATAATAGTTTTTATTCAAAATGCCCCAGCTAAAAATCGATATAGTAAATCTTCCAGAGGCAAGGATGCTGAACTAATCACTATACTCAATATAGTCTGAGCTATACAGCAAGTTCTGACTCCCTGTGAGGTTTTTTTTTTGGTTTGTTTTGTTTTTAAGCACAAGAAGAATTTATTAGGGAATATGTAGTTCAAATAATTATTGAGGTCCAGAGAACAAGGCTCTGCCAGAAACCCCACCACAGCCCAGAACTGCTTCAAGATCCCACTACTCCCACCTGCAAACAAGAGCTAGAAGATTAGCTGAGAAAACAAGTTTGAGATACTTTCATTTCTATGATGGGAAGATGTTGATGCATCTGGAGGGGAAATACCCAGACAGGGGCGCCTGGGGGGCTCAGTCGTTAAGCGTCTGCCTTCGGCTCAGGTCATGATCCCAGGGTCCTGGGATCGAGCCCCACATCGGGCTCCCTGCTCTGCGGGAAGCCCGCTTCTCCCTCTCCCACTCCCCCTGCTTGTGTTCCCTCTCTCGCCGTGTCTCTCTCTGTCAAATAAATAAATAAAATCTTAAAAAAAAAAAAAGGAAAAGAAATACCCAGACAGAGGGAAGATTTAAATTCGCAGCAAAGAGATATTTTTAAGTGCTTACTAGGTCTACCCCTTTTACCACTTAACATCAATATCCACTTTTCCTCCTATACTTCAAGTATGATGACCTTATGACTTAGATGCCCATCCCCCAGTCCCAAGAACAGCCAAGTGGATACATTTTGCTGCAACCCAGTGTAAGGTGATGCCCATCCTTTTAGTTCTATGCCAATCCTGTTGTGATACTGTAACTTACGGACTAGAATGTGCAGTCCATCTCCATCAGAGGTAGACACTAGTCCCTGTACTGTGAACCATCTCTTAGAAGAAAATGTATAAAAAACAGAACATGGAATATGAAATTTTCTTATGAGAAATACATGTACTAAAATCATGCATGCTAGCTGTTAAATGCTGCTACTAAACAGACAAGAGTAGTAACTTCCTGTTTTATTCCTGATGCTGAGTACTACCTCAAATAAGGTAATGTATTTATCACTGGACCTCATCAATTTCTCACACAAGAGAGTTAAGGACCACTTCTTACTTTGAAGTGACTGCTCAGCTTTAGACAAAATACTTTGTTCCACCTCACCCAAAAAAGCAGATGTTCAGACTTTCTCAGATGACTTCTGGTAGCATGACATATTGAGATGTTACAGAATAAGCCCACCTCTTGCTACAGGTACATGGAAATGATGAGTGTACAATCCATAAATTAAATATAAAACCAAGCTCAGGTGAAGGTAGGAAAAATATTAGGAAGCAGAAATGAAGAGAAAGTAAAGGCAAAACTTAAGATAGACTGAAGCTCTGGATCCCTGCAGGACTTGAGAACTGGATGTAGGGAGACTGAGGCTGCAGTGTCAACTTCCATGCACAGGAGATAAGATGCTAAGTGACAGTGCTGAGATGAAAGTCCCTGCACAGAGCCAGAGACCTTAATTCTCTGCTCTGTCATTCAAAGAGGAACTTGGAAAATTCTTCCTACTGGTTGTCTATGAGTCTTAGATGGGGGAATAAATTTTCCAAGACTAAATAAAACTCTAGGTAACATGGAAATTTTTTAAAGATTTTGTTTATTTATTTGAGAGAGAGAGAGAGAGAGAGAAACAAGTGGACTCTGCCCTGAGCATGGAGCCGGTCGCGGGGCTCAATCTCAGAACCCTGAGATCATGACCTGAGAGGAAATCAAGAGTCCCATGCTTAACTGACTGAGCCACCCAAGTGCCCTGGTAAGATGGAATTTAAATTAGCACTCATCACTTGGTGAAGAACCCCCCAAATTATATTAAAAATGCTCCAAGACTATGCTACATAAATTCTGGAAAAAAACAAAATCCAACTTGCTCTGAAGAGAGAATCTTGAAGAACTGATTACTGAGAGTTTTCTATATTTAAAGAATACATGAGTTTTTATTTTGAAACAGCACGAATATCTTTCTTTAATTTTTAAGAGACTTAAACTGACCATTGAGACTAGAAAATGATAATAATAAATCATGAATAAATAGATTAATTAATTAATGAATTCAACCAGAAGAAAACTATAGATTATCTGCAGGAAACAATTACACTGACAATAAATGAAAAAAGAGATTTATCTGAAAAGAAAATTAATATCTTCAAAGTGCTGAGTGAAAATACTCTCAATGTAGAATTCTATCTTGAATTAAATTTGCATTCCAGGGGCGCCTGGGTGGCTCAGTTCGTTGGGCGACTGCCTTCGGCTCGGGTCATGATCCTGGAGTCCCGGGATCGAGTCCCGCATCGGGCTCCCTGCTCGGCAGGGAGCCTGCTTCTCCCTCTGACCCTCCCCCCTCTCATGTGCTCTCTGTCTCTCTCTGTCTCAAATAAATAAATAAATAAAATCTTTAAAAAAAAAAAAATTTGCATTCCAGAGTAAGGAAAAGATAAAGGCATTTTCAAGGAAAGAAACAAACTGAGAGAGACCAGAAGTGAAAAGTCACTAAGGATATATTTTAGTAAGATAGGAATTAAACTCAGAAGCAATAAGTGGGGGAGGGAAAAGAGAACAAGGTAAAAGGTAGAAAACTAAAATTGGTAAATATGGTGAGCATTTGTTGTAATGATAACATTCATAATAAATACTGATTGTTAAGTAACATGTGAAATAAAATACTACAGAACATAATATTTAAGACAGAAAAGAAAACTCAGGTTCAAAGGCTCTATGAGACAAATTGTTGTGATAGAATTGGATAAAATTGGGAGTCAAAATGCAAGTTTATGCATAAAGCAAAAAGAAGCAAGTCACCAGGAAAATATAAAAATCCTGACCTTTATACATCTAAGAAATCACAGCCTCAGAATACATAAAACTAAAATCTAAACAATGTGGCTCCCTGCTTGAAATAAAAGATTTAAATAGGACTCAAATTCCAACATAATAAACAAAATATCCAGGATGTGATTGAAAATTGCCCATTATACCAAGAACAAAGACAACCACAACTTTGGTGAGAAAGGACAATGAAATGATGCCAACACTGAGATGAATCAGATGCTGGGATTATCTGACAAGGATTTCAAAGAAGCCATCATAAAAATGCTTCAAAGTCAGTTAGAGCCTCTTGAAGAAAAATGAATAGAAAGAGCTGAGCAAAGAAATAGGAGCTGTAAAGAAAACAAAATAGAAATTACATAAATGAAAGCTACAGTAAAATATATAAAACTCACTGCATGTGCCTGATGGTAGAGTGGATGATAGAGGATAGAAATCAGTGAAATTGAAGACAGATCAATTGGCTACTCAATCTCAGCAACAGAGAGAAAAGAGACTAAGGAGGGAAAAAATGAACAGGGCCTCAGATACCTGTGTGACTATAACAAAAATATAATATCTGTGTTATCACGTCAGGAAGAGAGAAAAGAAAGTGGGGCTAAAGAATATTCAAAGAAATAATGGCAAAGGACTCTCTAAATTTGGTGAAGAAAACAAAAATGCAGATTCAAGAAGCTGAGTGAACCTGAAACAGGATAAACCTAAACAAATCTCACCAAGTCATATCATAATTAAACTTCAGAAAATGAAAACAAAGACAAAAAATTGAAAGCAGCCCAAGACAAATGACGCATTATCTATATCTAAAAAATCAATGGATTTTTTATCTGAAACTATGGAGGCCAGCATTTTTCACACATTATGTGGCACATTTTTCAAAGGCCAAAAGAAAGAGTTCAGCTCTTAACCTTATATCCAGCAAAACTATCCTTTGAGAATAAAGGAGAAATAAAGGTACTCTAAGACAAAGAAAAACTTAAAGAATTTCTTATTAGCAGACTCAATCTCTTAAATATTGTAAGAAGGGATTTCTTCCGACAGAAAGAAATTGAAATCATCGACGCATCAAAAACAAAGAGGTAAAAATGGGAAGGGAAGACATCTGCATTCATACAATAGATTATCCTTTTCCTCATGAATTTTATATATTTGATGATTGAGACCAAAATTATTACACAATCTGCTACTCAATGAGATTTTAAAGCAGAGAATGTAAAGAAACCTAAATGCAAGTCAAGTTCTCACACTTCACAGAAAATGTTGATATTAGGAAACTGAAACATCATATGTGCTTATTGTAATTGTGGTAGACCTCCCCAAATATGTCCATGTCCTAATCTCTGGAACCTGTGAATATGTTACCTTAAGTGGCAAAGCATAATTAAGATCTCAAATGGAATTAAAATTATTAATCAGCTGCCCTTAAAATAGGAAGATTATATGATTTACACAAGTGGGAGCAATGCAGTCACAAGGATTGTAATCACAAAGCCTTAAAAGAAGAAGAGGAAGACAGAAGAGAATCATAAAAAGAGATGTGATGCAGAAAGAAGGGTTGAAGAGATGCAGTGGGTGTGAGTGAAGACTCAAGCCACCATTGGGGAAGAAGAGGCCAAAAGCCAAGGAATGCAGACAGCCTCTGGAAGTTCAAAAAGTCAAGGAAACAGATTCTCCCCTGGACCCTCCAGAAATACAGTCCTGATGACACCTTGATTTTTGCAGTGACACCCGTGTGAGTCTTCTGACCTACAGGACTGTAAAGATAATAGATTTTTGCTTTTTTAAGCCACTAAGTTTGTGGTAATTTGTTATGTTAGTGACAGAAAAATAAATACATATCTTGATGTGAAGAATGGGATGCTCTGGTAACAAATACCTAAAAATGAGGAAAAGGTTTTGAAATTGACAATGAACAGAAGCTGAAAGAATTTTGAGGAGCATGATAAAAAAAAAAAACACCTAGGTTACCTTGAACACATTGTTAGTGGAAATGTAGATGGTAACAACTCTGCTGGTGAGGCCTCAGAAGGAAGGGTCATGTTATTGGAAACTGGTAGAAAAAGAATGCTTGCTATATAGCCACAGAAAGCCTAACAAAATTATGTCCTATGAAATTATATGGAAAGCAAAAGTTGCAAATAAAGAAATTGGACATCTAGCTGAGGGAATTTCTGTGCTAACAAGGCTTCAAAGTGTGGCCTTGTTTCTTATTGGTGTTTATGGTGAAATGTGAGAGGAAAAATGTAAATTGAGATAAAAGTGTTAAGCAAAAACAAACCTGGACCTAATGTCTTGAAAAATCCTTATCCTATCAAGTTTGCAAAAGATACTAAAACTAAGAGATTCACCGTCAGGAAATCACGCTCTAGAGAAAAATCTAGCAGTGTGGCTTGACAACCTTTTGACTTAGATCAAAGAGTCAGAGAATTCGGTAACACAAAAGTCTCTTTGGAAAGATTAAGTATGTCGTTCTTAGATTCCCTCAGCCACCTCAGCAGAAGCCCAAAATAGAGATAAGATTATCTACAAAAAATATTTGGAAGTACCTCTTGTCTAATGGAATGAATCTCTGACATATATGGACATCAACAAGGTTTTTGACAATGTTGAAGCATAAACACTGTCAGTTTGGATGGAAGGAGACAGAGTACAAAATGAAAGAATGTTGTTGGACCCCCAAAATTTTTCAGGCAAGGAACAGGCTGTTAAAACTATTCAGCTGTAAGCATAAGTTACCATTTTTACAAAAATAAAAAAGAAGAAATAAAGAAGAAAAAAGATGACTCTGAGAAGCTAGAACATGGAGTCGTGAACCCACAGAGCAGACCCCAGGAGGAATAAACCACAGGGAATTATTCCCAACCTTGAAACCAAATGGAATTTGCCTCATTGGACTATAAAATTGCTTCAGACCATTGACTCCATTTTCCTTTCATTTTCTTCCCTTTTGAACAGGAATGTCTATGACTAGTATCCTATGCCTGTCTCACCAACGTATTTTGGGAACAAAAAACTTGATTCTTGAGTTTCATAGACTCACAAATGAAGGTAATTGTGCCTATGGGTAGATTCTACCTAGAGCCTTACCCAAATCTGATTTAGATTTGGAATTGAATGATATGATTTGGAATATTTTATCTGATGACATTAGATGAGATTTTTTACTTTGAGTTGATGTTATAATGAGTTGATGATGTTGGAGACCAACAGAATCCTATTGACATATATTGAACACTGCACCCAACAAAAACAGAATACACATTTATTTCAAGTGCCTATGAAATATTCATGCAGATAAACTATATCCTGGACTATTAAAAAAAAATTCAACAAATTTAAAAGAATTGAAATTTTTTTTTAAAGATTTTATTTATTTATTTGACAGAGAGATAGAGCCAGACAGCACAAGCGGAGGGAATGGCAGAGGGAGAGAGAGAAGCAGTCTCTGCACCGAGCAGGAAGCTGGACGCGGGGCTCGATCCCAGGCCCCTGGGGTCATGACCTGAGCTGAAGGCAGATGCTCAACCATCTGAGCCACCCAGGCGCCCCAAAAGAATTGAAATTATATACAATTTGTTTTCTAAACATAATGACTCTAAATAATATAATCAACAATAGAAATCAATAATAGAAGGACAACAGGAAAATCTCTAAATACATGGAAGTAAACAACATGCTTGTAAATAACCCATGGTCAAAAAACCTACAGGTAACAAACAATGCTTTCTTCTAAGATCGGGAGTAAGACAAGATGTCTGTTCCCACCATCCTTATTTAACATAGTACTGGAAGCTCTAGCCACTGAAATAAGTCAAGAAAAAGAAATAAAAGGCATACAGATTAGAAAGGAAGAAGTAAAAGTTTCTCTCTATTTGTAGATGATATGATTGTTACATAGAAAACTCTAAGAAATCTATTTTAAAAATCCAAGAAATAATAAGTGAATTCAGTGAGGCTCCAGGAAACAAGCTCAATACAAAATATTCAATCCTATTTCTACCTTCTAACACAGACATGGGGATATAAAATTTTTAAAATATCATTTACCATCACTCAAAAAAAATTTTTTTAAATAATTATTTAGGTATACATGTAACAAAAGATACACAGGGCCTATATGCTGAAAATTACAAAATACTGATGAAAGAAATCAAAGAATCAAAGTAAATGTAGAGACATAACATGTCTATGAATCAGAAGACAACATAGTAAAGATGTCAGTTCTCCCCAAGTCTATCTATAGGTTTAATTTAATTCCTATCAAAATCCCAGCCAAAGTTTTGCAGACATAGACAACCTTATTTTAAATTTTTATTGAAAGGCAAATACCCTAGAATATCTAAAATAATCATGACAAAGAAGAATGAAGAAGAAATATTCATTCTACCTGATATTAAGGCTATAGTATTAGCTATAGTAATTAATAATGTGTGGTATTGGAAAAGGGATAAGCAGATAAATAACAGGATAGAGAATGGAATCTAGACAAAACAGAAATATGCCTAAACAAATATGCTTAACTGATTTTTGATAAAGGTACAAAAGCATTTCAATAAAGCAAAGATAGCCCTTTCAACAAATCGTGCTCGAGCAAATGGACATCCATAGGCAAAAAAAATATATATATATACCTCAACCTAAACCCCACATATTATACGAAAACTAAATCAATAATGAATTACAGACTTAAAGGTAACACATAAAACTATAAAGATCTTATGTGGGAAAAATTCTTCAGGACCTAAACTCAGCAAAGAGTTCTCAGAAATGAAAAAAAAAATGTTCTATGAAAAAAAAAAAAATAAATTAGATCTCATCAAAAGTGCCCTTTTTTGCCCTTGCAAAAGTCCTTGTAAAGAAGATGAAAAGATAGTCAGATTATAGACTGGGAGAAAATATTTGCAAACCAAGTATTCAACAAGGACTACTATAAAAATATATGAAGAAAACTCTCAAAACCCAACACTTCAAAAAAATGCAGCTGGAACATGGGCAAAAGACATGAACACACACTTCACCAAAGAGGATATACAGAAAAGATATTCATTATCATAAGTCATCAGGGCAACAAAGATTAAAACCACAATAAGGTATCACTATCCACCTGTTAGAATGAATAATTTTTTTTAAATGATGACAACAGCAATTGCTAGTAAGAAATCAGAGAAATTGGATCACTCATACTTTGCTGGGGGAATTGCAAAATGGTATGACACACTGAAAAGCACTTTGTCAATTTCTTATAAGACTAATTAGCTTCCGACCCAGTAAGTGCTTTCCTAGGCCTTTATAAAGAAGAAATACAAACTTAAAATCACATAAAAACTTGTATATAAATATTCATAGCAGCTTTATTCATAATAGCCAAAAACTAAAAATATCCCTGATGTCCTTCAAGAGATGAACAATTAAACAAACTAAAAAATCAAGTCCTTATTTGAATTTGGCTCTAACAAATTTCAGAGTTCCTTGAAATTACATGATGGAATTGGACTGGGTACGAAGAACATTTTGGAGAAAAGATAAATTAGCATGTAAAACCAATCATTTGTCATTTGTTGAAAATGTTAACTTACCACAGAATGGACTTGCGCCAGTAGTATCCAAAAACACAGTGGTCTCTTCTCTCTTTTCTTTTAAAACATCTTCCCATAGCTCAGCTTGATAACCTAAGATTTGAGAAAGAAAACATTAGAAACAAGGAATGCCTGGCGGCTCAGTCGTTAAGCGTCTGCCTTTGGCTCGGGTCATGATCCCAGGGTCCTGGGATCGAGCCCCGCATGGAGCCCTACATCGAGCTCCCTGCTCAGTGGAGAGCCTGCTTCTCCCTCTGGCTCTGCTACTCTCCCTGCTTGTACTCTCTCCCTCTCTCTCTCTGAGTCAAGTAAGTGAATAAAATCTTAAAAAAAAAAAAAAAAAGAAAACATTAGAAACCAGATTTCCATCAAATAGCACACAAAGCTTTCAAATCACTAAAGGAACTGAAGAATCAATGCATTATAATAATAATCGTAATAATAATTTATGATTTTTATAACTTAAAAACCACTTTTCCAATAATTTTATATTCTATTCATTTTAATTACATAATAAATCAAATCCAAGATTCACAAACAAATCCCCCCCCCGGAAATCTTACCAGAGCTGAGCATACTCCATATGGCTACAATCCATTTGTAGCAGTTTTTATTATTATTTCATAAATTCAGAATTTTACTTGTATCTCCTTTTAGTAAATTCAGCAGAATAAAATGATTAGATAAAACAAACACAAAATTTAGTTCCATGAGTACAGCTCCCAATTCTCCTACATTCATACAGATATACTATACATGTGTATACATTATAAATATGTCATATAGATAGCATCTATATATAGTATATATTATATATATACTATATATATTCCAGATACATACATTATTAGTACATTTGAAATATCATCACACACACATGCATATATTTAAAATGCTTCCTACTTTATGTATTTGTCTGTTCCCACATTGCTACCTCCAAATTCGAAATTTGAATGTATAGAAAGTACACTGAATTGAGAATTAAGAAGTTTAACTCTAGTTCTCACTTGTGTCCTTACATAATCCTTCTGTTCCCACTGGGTCACAATTTTCTCATTTATATGGAAAAGCAATGAGACCAGAAAAGCAATCCCCAACATGAGGTCTGGAGAAAAAGAATCCCACAAGACGTCTTCTGGACAGAAGGGGTCTATGAGAAAATAGGTCTGGCCAAGCCGGCAGATTGCCTGCCTCCCCCAGAAATTCTCTACGCATGTTAGTATAAATCTCCTGCCGAAGAAAACTACAGAAAGCGGTTTACTTCAGTCGTTGTAATCGCTTCCCAAGCCCCTTTGGCCTTGGAAACATTTCTAGCAGATCCTGATCATGACACTGATAAGATGTTATATGCTCATGACATGCTTGGGATCTGGTGATCTCTTTGGAAAATCCTGAGCAAAAAACAGCCTCTGAGATTCTTTCAGCTCTACCGTTCTATTTTTATGTGGATTCTTTTTTCCTCTATAATTTCCTACAGACAGGCTGTTGTTATCGAAAGTTGCAGTACTTAACTGCTCTTGCCAAGCTTTATCGATTTGGAAGGTGTGAACCATGTATGATTCATGCCTACTTGCTAATAGCAAATGAAAAGCTAACTATGGTTTACACCTCTCCACTTGCTCCTAAGACTTTCCATAAAAATAAAAGCCTTCAGTGCCACTAAGAATGCACAAGTCTCAAAAAAAAAAAAAAAGAATGCACAGTCTCTTTCTTTAGTGGAAATACAGATGGATGATAGATAGTGAGCCTCCTTTACAAAACAAGAGCAAGGGTCATCATGAGACCACCAAATTTGCACATACATTGAGCACAGTTGGTTAAAATCCATTGAGCAGTTGATTAAATTCTTTTCACTAAACACCTTAAAAATATTTAGTAGGAAATAAACTATTTCCTCTGGTTGTTCCACAGGTAATTTTTCCATAAAATGCTTAACATGTTCCTAAGTAAATATGAAAGCTTCCAGCAAAAATACTAACAATTATGTTATTCATTTTCCACAAAAAATTAGAGTAATTACAACAGTCTCACTTACCTAGCCTAGGACATGATTTTTCGTTGAAGTTGTCACAGTCTACACATGAACCAGCTTTGAAATCTTCATATGAAGGACAAGGAAATGAAATAAAATTGCAGTTTGTTTCCAAAGAGGCCATGAACAAGTAAACCGCTCTCTGGTGGTCGCATTTAATAAACTGAATTCCTTAAGTGTTAAAAATCAAGCAAAAGAACTGTAGATGTATTAAACCAAGTTCAAGTAAATTAGAGAAAAATTAAAGGTTAAGTTCCACTCAATACTATGCCCTTGTGAATATTAAAGTGTTGACTACAATGCAAAGTTTTATCTCGAGCAATTAAATAAGTAGTACCATTGAAAATTTAAATTTAGTATGCTTTTACATGAGATTTATAAGAATTTTTTCTGAAGTAATAATTACCACAGGGGAAAAAATGTTTAATTTCAATAATTTGACAAACTCTACAAACACGGTGCTACCATACTTAATAACTATGTGTACATCTTTCCCTCCTAATCCCGCACCCCTAACATTTCTGCTTAATGTCAGAGAGGACTATGAAACCAGGTAACATTAAAGCTTTATTATGTCCATTTCTTTCCCCAACTCCTCACATCCTTATAACCTTTGGCCAAACTTCTCTAGCTGTAATGGCCTTTCACTGTGTGTTACTTGACCAGTTGTCACTGTAGACCTCAAAACATCGAATTCTTCTGACTCTGAAGTGAACCAAATTCCACACCTGGAGCAGCTGCTCGGCTATTTATGTAATAACCAAGTTCAAGAGATTATGAATCTGTGCTTGTACAATATTAGAGTGATGGTAAAGATTAAATCCCGAGCCCAAACTCATGTTACATGATACTTTGGCCATCTGTGCTTCTTCACTGACTTAGCACTTCTCCTAATGTTTAAAATGATGAAATAAAGCTATTGAAACTAATGTAATGGATCCCACCATGACCAAATGGGGATATCTACTGGTAAACTCTATGAACTGAGAAAAATCCAATTCAACCATTTTTTGCCAATCACTCTCCTGAATAATGAGCAAGGGTGATCAAAATCTTACCCACAGATTAAGAAGGAAAAAAGTAAAGTAAATTTGATTTTCCTTCATCATTTGAATCATATGTAATTCATTCAAAATTACTATTGGTATACCTGAAAGAATGGATTTAGGACAGCCAGGTTGCGTTTTTCCTCCATTTGGATAAAAATCTACATGCCCCAAGGGTTCTTTAATGCCTAAACCTAAGAAGAAAAACACTCAAAAATCACAAAGTGAACATAATCAGGTCAACAACACTTTTACAAAATAAAATCTATAAATTCTATTGAAAGTGACTCTTAAAATTTGAATTGAAAATAAAAGAAATGCCTTTTTTAAAAAGATACATTTTTCTGGTTTTAATGCCTCAAATTAATTCCTCATGAAAATTATATGTCATTAATTTAACATGTTTACTAGTCACCAATTTACTACGGGCCCATCACAGTTCTTTGTGCTACAAATATATAAGTAAAAAAGAAAAACAGAGCAAAACACCTTTTTGTAGTGGAAATTACATCTGAGTGGAGGAAGACATAATAAACAAGTAAAAATATAGTATGTCAGATAACAATAATGCTGTAGAGAAAACACAAGTAGCATAAGAGGGCGGTAAGTGCTTAGTCAGGGTGGTAGGTTGGTTGTACTTTTAAGTAGTCTGGTTAGGGAATTATCCATTGAGGTGGTAGAGTCAAGCAATGACGTGAAGGATGTGAGTGAGATGAGTGAGACAGGCAAGTAGAAAATTATGTGAGCATACCTAAAGTATTCAAAGAAGCCAGGTTAGCAGGAGTATAATGGGTAAGAGGGAGCACCAGAGGAAATGAAGCCAAGTCATATAGGACCTTTTAGGCCAGTTTGATGATTTGCTTATACTCTGGATAAGGCCTAAGACTTGGTACTAGATTCACTAACTGGAAAAATCTAAATATGCTGCTTCAGCTGGAACAAATGGGTCAGAGTGACATAAATGTGTAGCTGTGATTTAAGGGCTTCTGTATATCTGTGGATCCTCGGGGCACTGGGGAAGGTGCAAATGCTGGGTCCATTATTACCAATATGGGGGCTATAACCCAGGGAAGGCATGGGAACGAAAGAGGGTAGCAAGCTCAGAAAAATCAGGAATGTGGTTAGATCTGAAAATCTTGCTGCCAAGTGAAGTCACAATGCTTTGGCTTAGGGCACAAGAAATTTCCTACAACATGATAAACTCTTGAAAGTGATCAGCAATAGATTTACATAACAAAGATAAATACTTGGGTCTGACAGTAGGATTAAGATGGAGTGACAGGATTTAGTGAAAGTACAGAACAGAACAAGATAACTGCTAATGAGATGTTAGCAGAGCAGGAGGACACTGGGCATGTGCATTATGGGGGAGGGGAGTCAGCGTGTAAGGAAAGGCAAAAAACAATTCAGACGACTTCATTAGAACTCCTAAGAATTCAGGGAAGCACGAGAGTGATTAGATTGTGACAGTGGTGAGGTTATGCTAGCCAATCTCTCTTTACATTCCATCATCTGCTTGCATTCTCCTAAGTATGACCCAAAAAAAAAAAGTCCAATAATTTTTTTAAATTTTGGCAATCTTTACAATTTCCCTATGTCTGAATTCAACATGGAGTTCCAAGACTAGGGGTGCCAGGTTGGAGCCATCATTTTCTCCAATCTGCCACTAAAGTAGAAATAAGCCAAGACTCCTCAGGACTCAGGGAGAAACAAAAGACATTTATATTAACTTAGAAGCTGGCCTTGATTCATTCAGGCATGTCTTTTCCCCTTTACCAGATGGAAGGGGCAGAGAAGTTTGGTCTGTTTAGGTCATTCATTCCCTTGGTTTCAAGGAGGGTAAGGAGAGTAGATAGGGCTTTTTAAATTTTCTTTTTATTATAATTTAATATACATACACACAAACAAGAGCGTAAATCTAAATATTAATTAATTATTATAAAGCAGATAGCCACTTAGCTATCACACCCATGTCAAGAAATAGCACCTAGAGGGACGCCTGGGTGGCTCAGTTGGTTAAGCGGCTGCCTTTGGCTCAGGTCATGATCCCAGGGTCCTGGGATCAAGTCCCGCATTGGGCTCCTTGCTCAGCAGGGAGCCTGCTTCTCCCTCTGCCTGCCTCTCCCCCTGCTTGTGTTCTGTCTCTCTCTCTGACAAATAAATAAATAAAATCTTTAAAAAAATAAAAAATTAAAATTAAAATTAAAAAAAAGAAATAGCACCTAGAAACCCCTAGCTCTTACCTAATTACCAGCTTCTCCTTTTCCTTTAAAAATAATAACATCTTTTTTTAAAAAAAGATTTTATTTATTTATTTGACAGAGAGATAGAGAGCATAAGTAGGCAGAGCAGCAGGCAGAGGGGGAGGGAAAAGCAGGCCCCCAGCTGAGCAGGGAGCCCGATTCGGACTTGATCCCAGGCCCCTGGGATCATGACCTGAGCCGAAGGCAGACGCTTAACGACTGAGCCACCCAGGTGTCCAATAACATCTTTTAATAAAATAATTTTTTTGCTATTCTTTACCTTCCAAGGATGCCTCCCAAAACATAACAGTTTAGATTTGCCCATTTTGGAACTACATATAAATTGACTCATATTTCATGTATGCTTTTGTGTATGCTTTTATTATAAACTTGCTTTTTTATAATAATCCAAATTGGGTGTGATTCATTATCCATTTTTATATGTTGCAGAATTGATTTACTAATGTGATGTTTACGTAGAAATTTTGCACCCATGATTATAATAGAGAATGTCCACAAATTTTCTTTTCTGTAATGTCTATCATCTCAAGTTTTGACATTTTTATGATAGCTTTTAAAAAAGGTTATAAACAGTTGCCTACATTTTATTATTCTCTGAAACCGTTTGTGTGAAAGTGGTCTTACTTTTCCCTTAATTGTTTGGTAGAGATGAAAAAATTTGCCTAGGATTTACTTTGTTGGAAATCTTTAAATTACAGTTTCTATCTCATTAATAATTATAGAACTATTCAAATTTTCTTTCTTAATTTGTCAGTTTGGTAAATGCTTTTGCTTTTTCATAAAAATTTTTCTATTTTATATATCATACAATATAATCATACATTTTCATATTTATTTGCATAATATTGTTCATTATATCATAATATGATCAATTTCATATCTGTAGTACCTGTAAAACTATCTCTTTTTCTATTTTATCTTTTTAATATATATATATATTAAAGATTTTATTTATTTATTTGTCAGAGAGAGAGACAGCACAAGCAGGGGGAGTGGCAGACAGAGGGAGAAGCAAGGTCCCCACTGAGCAAGGAGCCCGATGTGGGACTCGATCCCAGGATCCTGGGATCCTGATCCGAGCCAAAGACAGACACTTAACCGACTGAGCCATCCAGGTGTCCCTTTATTTTATTTTTTTAAAGATTTTATTTATTTATTTGAGAGAGAGAGAGAGAGTGCTGTGTGCGCACCAGTAGGAAAAGGGCAGTGAGAGAGGGAATAGCAGGCCCCCGGCTGAGCAGGGAGCCCTGCGGGGCTCGATTCCAGGACCCTGGGATCATGACCTGAGCCGAAGGCAGATGCTTAATGACTGAGCCACCCAGGCGCCTCTACCAGGGGCCTGTTGTAAATTACTGAAATTCATTGTGCCTTCTCTCGTTGTTCTATTTTTTCTCCCCAAGAATATATTAAATTGGAGGGTGATATATAAAGTCCAAGCACTGTATATTCCTTCACTACATGGAAAGAAGGTAAAAATGAGATATTTTACAAGCCCCGTGTAAGGGTTTCAAAAATACTTCCCATACTCTATGTATGTATCAGGAAACCTGCCGTAAGAAAAGTGACTCCAAACTTACCAGTTTACTTCCCTGGAATTTTTCTATCTTCTGGATGTTGGACTGTAATTTTTTACTGATATCCCAGCAAGGATATTAGTCCAAATTATCCAATTCACAATTTTAGAAGGCCACATAACTTTTTTAACATATACAACCAAATATGGACAAAAACTCCTGGTAAGTAGAAGATGCACTCACTGATAAGTATTCAAGGAAAAGGTAGTCTGCCAGATATGTGTTGACCCCAAGTATCTCATTCAGAAATTCCTTGAGACAGGTGGATCTGCAGCATCAAAATGCTGTGTCCCTCGTTTGCAATGGTTGTGAAAAGATCGATCAAGGGTGTCAACAATGTGGCATCTAGTGGTAAGTTAGATTTGACAGGCCAGGTCATCAAAAGATGTTGACAGTGGAAGATAATAGAAACAGTTTTTTATTAGGAAAAGCCAGAAATGCAAACAAAAATAATAAAAAGTATGAAGAGCTAATTCAAAGGCCATAGGCAAAACTGGAGTTGGGATTTCAGACAAAGAACTGCAGAGCAATTGGGCAGTAGGTGCACTGTGTGGGGGGAAAGCTAAGTTAATATAAAGGGATAAAGACAAGGAAGGCTTGAGAGGTTGAGGTATCATATTCGAACTATGAACCTCTGGGCACTAACTCCCTGTGATACATAAGGTAACTTAGATTCCAAAGAAGGAGCAGAACGATACCCATAGAGGCTCAGCCCCCTGGCATGTAGCCATAGAAGCTGAAAAATTGTCCTCTGTGGCATTTACGGCATTTGTATCTCTCACAAAGGCATCGGTATGAATCTCCACAAGGACAATTCAGAGTACTATGGGAGCAAATAAATTACCTGGACCAAAGAGAAAAGAAACCTGAGGAAATAGGGAAATCAAAACAGCCTGAGCATCACTTCCTCCTTTCTCCATGGTAGCGCCATATCCTCCCCATGCCCACAACCAGAGCACATGGAAATTATCAGCTGGTCAGAGCAACAAACTGGTGACGCACAGACTCTGGAATCATAAGACTTCAAATTCTGGCTCTGCCACTTGTGACCATGACCCTAGCTTCCCCATCAGTAAAAGGGGGATGATATTTATTTTATTTTATTTTATTTATTTTATTTATTTTATTATTTTATTTATCTCATGGGGACTTAGAAGAATGCCATAATTCATTCACAGAAAGCATCTAAAACACTGCCCAAGGTATAGGAAGTGCTCAATAAATCGTAGGATCATTAATTTCAAATGAGGAAGGGGCTCAGGGTCATCTAAATTCTTCCTTGAGAGTGTCTGTCCAAAGCACTCTGGCCTAAACTACCAATAGCCCATTAGACATTTTCAGGAAGACAATTAAAAATCATAGAGAAATTATGTCCCTACCTCCAGGGGAGGGTATTCTCTATCTGTGCCTGAAATGCTGTGTTCAGTTCGAGTTGATACACATCACAGTGAGAAAGTGGAGGGAATGGTAATCTAAATACAGCAGGAAAAGGAAGCATGGGAGAAACTGTGATCAATCAAAATTGTCAATAGCTTGAACAAGATGAAGTATTTTTTTATCAAGTTTCCATTTTTTAGGATAATATGACAGCCCTTGAAACCTGAAGGAGGTAAGCCGATGGCAAAACCTGGCCATTTGACACCACAGGACATCACGAACTCTAAGAAATACCGCTTGTGGGAAATAAAATCATTTTATGATTACAGACTCATCGTCACTTTACCCACTACTCCTTCTCCTTTCATGTTCTCCTCTTCCCCAATGTCTACATCTTTTCATTTTCAGATAATTAAGCAATAAATCCTACATTGTTACCATTGGTATCGGAATGGATGACATCCACAAACTTGGCATCAGTGTAGTCTAATCTGTCATTAAATGATCTTCCAGAGAATTTTGGCCCAGCAGGGTCAAGACCTGAAATTCAAGAAAGAAACTATCGATCGATTAATTAATTCCTACTACAGTGTTTATTAGATCTTATGGTTGCATTATTATTAAATTATAAGCATGTCTATATAGTTTTAGCTTAAACTTGTAAAAAAAACTAATATTAAGATAAATGAAATTGGATGAATAGCAAGTATCTTTGTTATTTGAATGATACTTTTTACCAATAGTTAATCAACAATCTAGTGTTAAAGCACACTTAGCGATGCCTCAACAAAATACTGTAGGTTTTATTTTTTTAGCATTTTTATCTAAGAAGTACTTAGGGGTAAACCAATAGTAGCTATATAGTTAATAATAAATAACTACTACTGCCCTGAGGGGGGTGGGGGGAATGAATAATATCCTGGTCCTGTCTTGAATCTCATGCCTTACTAATACATCCCAGATATATCTGCAGTTCTAAAATGATTTTTAAGTGCCAAATACAATTTGGGCTCTGGCATAAAACATATTATTATCTCATCATTCATTTTTCACAAAAGTTTCCCATATACACACAAGAAAACAAAAATGTATTAAGAGTTCCATGGAATATAGATATTATTTCTGGTGTATTTGAAATTTTATTTATTTTTTTAAATATTTATTTATTTGACACAGAGAGAAACAGCACAAGCAAGGGGAGCAGCAGAGGGAAAGGGAGAAGCAGGCTTCCCGCCAGGCAGGGAGCCCTACATGGGGCTTGATCCCAGGACCCTGGGATCATGACCTGAGCCGAAAGCAGACACTTAACCGACTGAGCCACCCAGGCACCCCATATTTGAAATTTTAAATAGAAATTCTAGTCTCATGACCTACTGGCATGTATCAAAAAGGCAAGGGAGTGGGAAGGAGGTAAAATTCAATAACTTGAGAACATCTATGCAATGGAAGATAACAATCATCTCAAAAAGGATATTTTAAAAAGTAAAATATAATGTTGCTCATCTCAAGCCCTTCTCCTATCCCTAGTTTAGTTAGCCCACTTGACTGAGTGAGGCAGAAACTTCTCTTCTCATAAATAATTCTGATGTAGAACTACCACATTTGCTGGACTTTTAAACCCTGATGATTGCTTGGCCTGTGGATTCAATCTAACTGGACTAATGTGTGAGTAAACACACCTTAACATAAAGTAGGATGACTATGGTGGTTGAAACAGAATGGGCTTTGGGTGCTAGAAAGTTTTGTACAAATCCTGGCTTAGCTATTAAAAACTTTTTGACCCCCTCCCCCTACATTCATTCAGTTAACCTGTTTTCACATCTATATAATGGGGAATAACATTAAAACCGATCAGAATAAGTAAGTAAGGTATACTTAAGGTTGTAAAGATCCTATCTATGCAATTCATTCACCTCTCCCCTCCCCCTTTGCTTAACTTAACACACTATTACTTTTATTAACACTTAAAATCATTATAAATATTCTATGGACACAGATCTCAATAGTTGTTAAAAAGCTGAATTGATTGGGGAGGGATATGCTCTTTCTATTCTAAAATCACCATTCCCAAGTGGAAGCATGAAAATCTATGTCAGCATTATTTGGTTACTAAGCTTTCTGGATGCAGGAACTCTGTTAAAAAAAAAAAAAAATATGAGGGGTATCAGGATCTAGACTCCTTCAAGCTTGGGTATCAACTCCTGATTCTCTCTTCTGGTGTTCAAATAAAATTCTTAAAAGAATTGAAATGTGTCAAAGTTTGTGAAAATTAAGTACATGGTTATATATTTAGTTAATACATGAAAAAAGTTTTATATTTAATGGGTCATATTTCCCTCTGGATTGTTAGAATAATGTGTCCTTAAAATTCACGTGGGGTTGCAGAAATTGATCTTCTTCCTCCCATTTTTATAGGAGTATCTCATCTCTGTTAAGAACTAAACAAGAGTCCCGCATCGGGCTCCCTGCTCTGCGGGGAGCCTGCTTCTCCCTCTCCCACTCCCCCTGCTTGTGTTCCCTCTCTCGCTGTGTCTCTGTCAAAAAATAAATAAAATCTTTAAAAAAAAAAAAAAGAACTAAACAAGAAACAAGACTTTAGAATCTAACTAAAACAAAGACTAGCATTTGAATATAATACAGAAAAAAAATAAATGTGCATCATTTCTACTGCTTAATTATTGTGCCGGATAACTTTTAAATAAAACAACTTCTGATGCCTTAAAGAATGCTAAAACACATTTTATAAAAAATATTTTACCTGTTATTCTTCCAAGTTGACCTTGAAATATCTTTCCAACAAATCCACTAATATGAGCCCCTAAGCTCATACCTATGAAATGAAAATTACCAAGAGATGCTCCATGCTTCTGCAAGTGAAAATGCAATGTTACGATTTTCATTTCAGAAATCGCAAATTATGCCCTGTGCATCAATATTCTAGAATTTATTTTTTTTCTAGTTTAATACATTTCTGGGAGATGGAGGATGGGATTTTATAATTTGAAAACAACAATATCTTTGTTCAACATTTTCCATAGGACATCTGATTTTTCTCTATACATTTTTAGTAATACCAGTACATTTTTAAAAACCTTTGTTATCTGTTATCTAAACTAGTATATGCAAAATAATACATTTAGTTAAAGAATTTTGTAATAATAGTAGTAGACATTATAGGGTACTTACCTTGAATAAGTGTTTTGTAAATCTCACATTTAATATTCACATTAGTCCTATGAGATATTTATTTTTATCCTATTGTTTCAAACTATTCCTGGCACTTATTAAATGTTGAATAACATGGTTTGATAAAAAGTTGCCCAAAGCCACATATAATTATTACTGTAAGGGAAAAAGATGAACTTCAAGTCCAGACCTGTTTAACTCCAAAATATATACTAATCTGCCTCCTTGTTTTTTTCTGAACAGATTGTGTCAAAATCACTAGGAAGACTGAAACAGTATGAAATGAGGATGCTCATTTCAGAGATGTTAAAATGAGACTCATGGATTTGAAGTGTGATCATGGATTCCTGAATCACAAGCTGGAGAGCCATGGAATCCAATCTTCCAAGCTAAAATTCTGAACACATCTTAGAGGCTTGTAGAAAGATGTGGGACATTTACTGCCAATGAGAAACTAAATCCAGGCTTTCCAGCCACAGGGTGTTAATTTTCTTCAAATTCCTCAGAGCAATGCCCAGAAACCCGAGGGAGTATCACTCTCAACTTTAGTGTTACTGAGCTTTTCATCCTTTTTCCTAAATATAAAGCCTTTTCCTAAATTTCTATATTTTACATTCGTATTTCCCACACTTTGAAGTACATGTTATTAGAGAAAAGACCACTGCTGTAAGCAAAAATCAATTATGTAGTTTATAGACTATAAGAACAGATGAATTACTTCCACTGTCTCTCTAGAGAGACAGTTTGGTTTTGTCCAAATTTGGGGATGTAATAATTATACTGATCCTGATTATATTCAATGATTATTATATGCCAGGTACTGGTTAAGAATTAATTTCATTTAATACTTATATAAAATATTGTTATAAAGTTTCATTATCCCCAATATATAGCTAAGTAAATGAGGCAGAGAGATTAAGCAATTGCTTAAAGTCACACAGAAGATAAGAGATAGATTTGGTCTTTGAACTCTTCCAGTCTGACTCCTAATGACTACATGTAAACTGCTTCTTGGATCTGGTAAGCTTGCTCAATTTCAGGAGAGCCTTGGAAATTCAGGACAACGCAACTCAAAGCAGATGTCAAGTTCAAGAATGTTCCAAATCAGAAATCACCCTTCTTTCTCTCAAGTGCTCATCACCACCACATCTCTCTCTAGAACAGACACTGATCTCCATATGGGTTGACATAGTAAATGTAGATCATTCAAACTGCAGATGACCTAAAACTGGCCTGAATGTTACTGACACACTGCAACCCTGCACCTAAATCCTGGACAAAATCTGAAGACTTGCCTCCAAAGTTGGCCAGAAGTATGCTACTTTTCAAGATGTTTTTCCCTCACTTTTACCAATTCACACTTGATGAACTATAAATATATTAGCCATACCTTAGGAAAGATGTCTAAAGAACCTAATGATTATATAGTTTATCCCCTTGGTCCACATGGAATTACTACCCTAACATCAAGTCAGTATAGGTAGAGTTAAAAAAAAAAAAATTAAAATCTTAAAAGATTTTAAGATAAAACATAATAACTGAGTCTTTAAGATATTTTTTTTTTAAAAATAAGACCGTTCATAGGTAGGTATGGAATTTATCCATTTACACAAGTTAAAGATGGCTGTATATGGTAGCATATCAAAGAATAATTCTTTTTTTAAAGATTGTATTTATTTATTTATTTGAGAGAGAGAGAGCACATGAGAGGGGGGAGGTCAGAGAGAGGAGCAGACTCCATGCTGAGCAGGGAGCCCAATGTGGACTGGATCCTGGGACTCCAGGATCATAACCTGAGCCAAAGACAGTCGCCCAACCAACTGAGCCACCCAGGCGCCCCTCAAAGCAATAATTCTTAATGTGTATAGGAAAAAAGTATTTATCTTGCTACCACTTTGTGGTATTGCATAAAACACTGTATATTGTAAAACATATATAATATATAAAATTCTTACCAAAAGATTCCGAATGTACCCACTCAAACTCACAGCAACTTTTCTGGTGTTTTTAACTGCTCTGTTGTAAAGAAAAGTTGTAGCACCCCGGTTCCAGTCTACTACAATTATGTTTATATCCTCTTGATTCAACAAAATCCTTAGGAAGTTCTGAAGCCATGTGGGAGAGGAGCCCGTTGGTCTGTATCCATGAATAAGCCAGACTGTTTTCTTGCTTATACTGAAATTAACATTAAGGGAGTTATGCTGCTCAAACAGTGGCTCAGCACAGTTGAGATTTTTCCTTGTATACAACATCAAGGAAATCTCCATTTGGGGAACAAACAAATCTTTGAAGGAATCCTTTATACTTAGATGAGAGAATTCAAGGCATGATCTTTTATTCTCTGAAATAAGAAAAAAAAAGTCCGTCAAACTGAGTACTGGGATAGTATTTGATACAATTCCTATCACTATTACAAAGAACAGATTTGAACTTGGAGGGAAGGTTTTATTTCATCAGTATTTCTTTTTTTTTAAAGATTTTATTTATTTACTTGCCAGAGGGAGAATACAAGCAGGGGGAGCGGGAGGCAGAGGGAGAAGCAGTCTCCCCGCCAAAAAGGAGCTGGATCTGGGACTGGAATCCAGGACCCCGAGATCACGACCTGAGCTGAACGCAGATGCCCAACCATCTGAGCCACCCAGGCCCCCCTATTTCATCAGTATTTCAACATAATACTCTGAGCAACTACAATGTTTAATGTGTTGATTATGTAAAAAGACCCTTTGAACAAGAAGCATCCAAAATTTTTAAATAAAATATAGAAAGAAATGCGATTGGTTAAAAGTTAAAAATTATTTTTTATCTGTACAAAATAGCAATGGTGTCACTTAAAATCATTAATATTGTTAGTAAAGGGACGCCTGGGTGGCTCAGTCAGTTAAGCATCTGCCTTCAGCTCAGATCATATCAGGGTCCAGGGATCCAGCCTTACATCAGGATCCCTGCTGGGCGGGGAGTCTGCTTCTCCCTCTCCCTCTACTCCTCTCCCACTCCCCCATTCATGCTCATGCTCTCTCTATCTCTCTCTCCCTTTTTTTCTCTCTCAAATAAATACAATCTTTAAAAAATATATTGTTAGTGAAGAAAGTATTATGCACACCAATAAAAGTAAATAAATTGATTCTGAGCTTTAACAGAAGTTCTGCAGAATAATATATATGGATAATAATCATTCAAGAAAATATATTTGGGCGCCTGGGTGGCTCAGTTGGTTAAGCGACTGCCTTCGGCTCAGGTCATGATCCTGGAGTCCCGGGATCGAGTCCCACATCGGGCTCCCTGCTCAACGAGGAGCCTGCTTCTCCCTCTGACCCTCCCCCCTCTCATGTACTCTCTCTCATTCTCGCTCTCTCAAATAAATAAATAAATCTTTAAAAAAAAAAAGAAAATATATTTAACCTAACTAGTGATCAAATAAATACAAATCAAAACAATAAGGTATCGGGCGCCTGGGTGGCTCAGTTGGTTGAGCGACTGCCTTCGGCTCAGGTCATGATCCTGGGGTCCCTGGATCGAGTCCCACATCGGGCTCCCTGCTCGGCGAGGAGCCTGCTTCTCCCTCTAACCCTCCCCCCTCTCATGTACTTTCTCGCTCTCTCAAATAAATAAATAAATCTTTAAAAAAACAAACAAACAAACAAACAAAACAATAAGGTATCATTTTCTTCCTATCAAATTAAACAAAAAAAAATCATTTTAATACTTAATACTTCTGAAGGTATATTTAACAAATATTCATATACATGGATGCTGAGAGCATAAGTTGATACAACATCCTTTTGAAATTGAAATTATAGGGGTGACTGGGTGGCTCAGATGGTTAAGCGTCTGCCTTCGGCTCAGGTCATGATCCCAGGGTCCTAGGATTGAGCCCCTCATCAGGCTCCCTGAGCAGGGAGCCTTCTTCTCCCTCTCCTTCTCCTGCTCCCCCTGCTTGTGCTCTCTCGCTCTCTCTGTCAAATAAATAAATAAGATCTTTAAAAAAAAAACTGAAATTAGATGGTACACAGAATCCTAAAATATGTGTTCTTCCTTATTTTCTTCCTAGGATTTATATTAATGAAATAAATAATTTGTATTAAATGTAAAGACATTAATAACTGGGTTATACATAATTGCACAAAAACTTAAAACACCTTAAATATCACCAGATAGTATTTTCATTAATGTGCGCATCCTATGTGTCTGCCTATCTATCTACCTACCTATCTAACCATTCATCTATCCTAGAAAGGAGTAGGGCAGAATGAAATAACTAAGCCAAATCAATAGCAATAGTCATACCTAGGCAGTGAAACAAAGGCTGCTTTTTAATTTTCTTTTTCATAGAGTCTCAAAAGTGTAATTTCTTTCAAAATAGGCACATGACCCTAATTTTTTATGAGCATATGCTTGTATTATTTCTGGAAGTTTAACTTATTAAAAGATTTGGGGAAATGATATGTCAATTTATATCCAAAATTCACAAAATTGTTAATATAGTTCATGCCAGTAATTCTACTTCTAAGAATTTATCCCAAGAAAATAGTCATTTAAACATAAAAATGAACTAATATATATTATTTTAGTATTGGAGAAATAGAAGTGATTTAAATGCCCAGAAACAATGATATGATTAAGTAAACTACAAATATATTTAATAAATATAAATATATGTTTTGTATACACATATTTAAAACCACAGACATATAATGTACATTTGATAAATCCATAATAATATGCACAAATTACAATCTACCTTTTAATTTGGAAAGTATATATATGTGATATTGTCACAATTATTCAGAAGATAAAGGAAGAAGGCAGTGAAGGAGAAACAAGTGAAGGAGAAGCACAATTAATTCCCAGGTTGACAGGTGAGAGATACTTAGGCAAGTGAAAACTTTGAAACAAACTTCATTTGTCCTAAGTACTAGAGAATGAGGAAGTGGAGAGGAGAAATAAATCAAACCACAGTGCAACATCACACTATACAAATTGCATAGGGAATTGTGTACAACCATCTTTCCACAATCTGAACTGTTTCCATCAGCTGAAACTCTGAGAAGGCCAAATGCAATCAATATATCTAAACTGCCAGTCCACTCCAAGCCAAGGTAGATTTTACCTGGCCCTGGGATAAGTAATGAGGAATAAAAAGTAGGATTCCTCTGATAAAGTAAGAGACAGAAATCACTTGAAACAATCAATAGAGCAAACTATTATCTATTGCCAGATGTAGAAGTAATTGCAGAAAATTCAATAGCACTCTCATTACAATACAAGAAAAATCGTGTCTCAAAAATAGGAGGACACTAAGAGAAAATTTGTTGAGGTAAAAAAAAATAGTATAAAATTAAAAGTGGAATAATGAGATACTAAAATTCAAGAAAAGAAAAAATGCAATTGCAGAATAAAAATTCACATTGCATGTGCTAAAACATGGAATGCTAACCTGGCAGTAAGAAATGAAGGAAGGAAGATTTCAATTATGAAGGGAAACACAGATATGGGACAGGAAATGATGATTCAAGTTAAAAAATCATCACTGCTCCCTTGGAGTGGGAAGGAATTAGAGAGGGAGAGGTTTGCAGTTACAATCACTAAGGAAATAATTGCATACCATCACAATATAGAGAAAATCAGTTAATCAGACTCACCAAGAGGCTTCCTAGAAACTAGTTTGGGTTTTGATGAAAGGGAAAAATATCCTAAAAACATCAAGGCAGAAAATCCATGTTAAAATAGAGAAATGAAGTCATGATGACTTCAGATTTGTCTTCCAAAACAATACATTAGACAAGATAAAAGTTTGATGAATGAAAGTTATAAGTGAAAAAGTTTGTGGCCTAATGATTTTATATCCTCCCTAAAGTACACCACTCATAAATAACATAGTACAGTTCCTAACATCATTGCTGTTAAATAAATGCTAGATTTATTGAAGACAAGATCCACAGAAACTCATAGTATAAGCAGATAGAAAGTTTGCAAGGAAATAGGTAAGACACCAATATAAGTGTATATATTATAAAACTGAGTGAAACATACATGCAATATCAAAAGGCATTCTTATTCAAATGTTTGCTAAGAATATTTAAATATTAGTGTAAGTCAATATACTAATAAGATGGGAATATAGGTTAAAAGGAGTATAGAGAAAGTAAGTGTGGTACAAAAATTCCTTAACTGGAGGATTCAAAAGATGTCAGCTTTTTAAATTTTAATAAATAGATAAGTGTGGCTTTAAAAAGATACTGAAAACCTTAAATTTTAACCACCATACTATATAAAACAGTACACATAACTTTGTACACACTAAAAAAAAAAAAAATAGCAAATAGTGTATACATACAAAAGATTAGAAATTGAAAAAATAAATATAGAAAGTAGAAAACATGAAACAAAAGGATACAATTACACTGGAGAAAAAATATATATGATATATAAAGTTATGTAACTATAAAAATTGCCCATTTAAAAAGCAAAGAATCTCAGCTTTCATTAAAAAAATTAGCACTGGTTGTTGTAAGTGATTAATCACTAAAATTACTCCTGAAACCAATACTGCACTGTATGTTAACTAACTAGAATTTAAATAATTCTTCTAAGTGACACTTAGCTATATGTTATTTAAAAGAAGCGCACAGGAAATTTTAAAGAAATAGGAGGTACATTCTACACAAAATAAAAGGAAAGCTGGTTGGTGTACTCGATTATAAGTGTGGCTCCAATTCATCACCCTTTCTTGAATCCATGCCATTTGCCTTGTAACTTTGAGTCATTCTTCTACCATCATAAATGGGTGACTTGCCTCACTTCTTGATATGGGCACAAACATACAGCCTGCCATGGAAAATAGGACCCTGGTAGATATAATGCAAGCAGAGGCTTGAAATGGGCTTGCATGTTGGGGGGCTGGCCTCTCATACTTCTGCCATCACCATGAAAATATCCTTGGTCTGGCCTGATAGAAGAGGGGAGAGAGGAGCAAAAAAGCCAAGCTGCCGGTTGTACTAGTCACTCCAACAGACTGACAGCCAGTCAAAAGCAAACCATGCAAGTGAACCCAATCAGGAAGAGCAGGGTTGCCTAACCAATTCCCACCTGACCCCACAAGTGTGTGAGTATACTGCTTTAAGTCAAATGCTACTGAGGGAATGAGTTTTTGTTTTGTTTCATTTTGTTTAGCTTTATTGGGACATCATATAATTGATTACATTGGTAATATTAATATCAGGTAAAGAAAAACAAAAGTTTTAAAATGATAAAAAGTGTTAACTAGTATGTTAAAACTCCTAAAAAACATTGAACTGTCTCAATTCTGGTAGATGTTAGGAGTAGAAAAATAAAGCTCTAGGTATCAAAA